CATAAAAGCTATAAAATCACAAGTTCTGATTAGAATCAGAAAGCGAGGGCCAATGACAGAGAGTTGCTTTTAGATCTTTAGCATATCATTTTAATCCTATTTGCCTCAGCCCCATTTGCTAGACTACCTATCAGTATCTAACAAGAACTTTCTTTACTTTGGCATGGATTATAAATAACTCTAAGGGGCTGGGGATGTGGCTCAAGCGGTAATGCGCTTGCCTGGCATACGCGGGGCGCTGGGTTCGATCCTCAGCACCACATAAAATAAAATAAAGATGTTGTGTTCACCGAAAACTGAAAAATAAATATTAAAAACTTCTGTCTCTCTCTCTTTAAAAATAAATAAATAAATAACTCTAAGGTCAAATTTCATTATACATATCACATATCAAATATGATTATACATATACATATCTTGATTGATAGTTGTTACCCTAATAATCAACTTTGTATCTTCAACCCATTTGAATGTATTTCTGCTAATGACATATATTTCTTTTGTTTTCTTAGCTCTCCTCCTACCCACTCTTCTTCCTCTTACACATCTGCTACTAGTATAAATCTCCACCTACCTTTTTCTCCTTTTGACCTTGATGTGTATCATTTTTTTCTTTTTTCAGTTTTTTCTCTCCCTTTCGCCTAATCTTTTGTCTTCCTCCTTTTAATCCCCATAGAATGTTACAGCAATTTCATATATATAATAATAAATTTTTCAACTTATTCCAGAACTTTACTATAAATTTATATCTGGATTAGAGGAATTGATGAGAATAATATCAAGTTTTTTTTCCCCCATAAGGTCGAATACTATATGACTTGGCTCTGAAGTGACTGTAGAAGGGTTCAGTGGCTTCTCTCAAAGTGGTGCTGCTACTAGGATCAGCAGAGAACATACACTAAGTTAAAGTGTGAACAACTGCATATCACCCAACACAGGGCTCCTAAGAGAAAGAACCATTGCTTAAAAGAAGAAATGATAAAACCATCCCAATAAATGGATAGACGTACCAGCAATATGAAAAAGCAAGGGAAAAAAAATACCAAACAGCCCATAATACTTCAACAACTGACTCCATTGACACCACAGTGGAGGAAAGTCAGAGAAAGAATTTTAAAAGCTCACAGTTAAACTAAAAGAATATGTAAAGGAGTGAAATTAGAGAAAAAAATCAGGAAGTGAAAGGTCACTTCAATAAGAGATTCTGAAAAAGAACCAAACAGAAATTCTAGAAAGTCTCAATAAATCAAATTTAAAATTCAATGGAAGCATCACCAATAGATCAGACAGATTGAAGACAGATTTTCAGGCCTTGAAGACAAAGTATATAATCTTGAAAATAAATTTGATCATAAAGAAAAGATGTTAAGAGACCATGACCAGAATACTTAAGAAATCTGGTATAACATCAAGAGACCAAATTTAAGAGGCATTTGAATAGATGAAGGATCTGAAATACAACCTAAAGGGATATACAATCTTTACAATGAAATAATTAGAAAATTTTTCAAATCTCAGGAATGATACGGAAATTCAAATACAAGAGGCATAAGAAACTCCAATTAGACAGAATCAGAATACATTTTCTCTAATACACAAAATTAAAATGCCTATTGTACATAATAAGAATAGAATTTTTAAAGATGTGAGAAAAACAGCCAGTCACATTTAGTGGTTAACTAATTCAGATTTCAACTGATTTCTCAATCCAGATCCTAAAGGCGAGGAGGGCATGGAATAATATACACAAAGCTATGAAAGAAAATGGGTGTCAACCAAGCTTACTACACTTAGCAAAATTATCTTTAGAACTGAAGATGAAATAAAACCTTCAATGATAAACAAATCACAAAGCCTATACTACAAAACATACTCAATGAAATATTTCATAAAGAAGAAATGAGTAAAAATGACAGCCAGCATAGGATAAATTGTACTAAAATAATAGTTAATTAAAGGAGACTCTAGTCTGAATTAGACTTGAGAAATAAATCAAAATGGCAGGAAATAAAAATCACCTCTAGAATAACATTGAGTATAAATGGTCTAAACTCTTTAATCAAATAGATTGGCTAATTTGATTAAAAAAGAATACCTAACAATACATTGTTTACAAGAGACTCGCCTTGTAGACAAAGGCATTCAGAGTCTGAAGATGAAAGGATGGAAAAATATATACCATGTAAAAAGTAGCTATAAGCAAGCAGGGATAGAGAGACACAGAGAGAGAGAGAGAGAGAGAGAGGTATCACCACTTGCCAAAAACAAATATATACCCAAAGCCACGCTCCCAGTGACCCACCTCCTCCAACTACCACTGGGTTAATCCCATTAGGGATTAATTTACTGATTGGGTTAAGGCTCTCATAATCATTTATTTTCTGAACTTTGTGGCATTGTCTCACACATTCGCTTTTGGGAGACACCTTACATCAAAACCATAACAACTTCATACTGGTTAAGGGAATCATCCAACAAGAATAAATAATAATTGTAAATATTTATGCCCCAAACAATGGTGTGTCTACATACATAAAACAAACCCTTCTCAATTTAAGAATCAAATGGACCACAATGCAACAATACTGGATGATTTCAATATATCACTAGATAGATCATCCAGATATAAAGATTCTTCTGAACTAAAAACTACTATTAAAACAAATGATCCTAACAGACATCTGGAGAATATTTCATCCATCAATGACTGAATTCCCTTTCTTCTTGGCAGCACATAAAATATGGTCTAGTTTAGAAAATGTTCTATGTCACAAAGCAAAGCTTAGCAAATACAAAAAAAAAAAAAAAAACAAATAATTCTTTGCATCCTATCAGTTCATGGTGGAATGAAATTAGAAATCAATGACAAGATAAAAAACAGAAACCACTCTAACACCTGGAGATCAAATAATACAGTTTTGAATAATGAATGGATAGCAGAAGAAATCAGCAGAGGAATAAAAAAATCTTAGAAGCAAATGAGAATAATGATACATCAAAACCTCAGGGACATTAATAAGGCAGTTCTAGGAGGAAAGTTTGTAGCACTGAGTTCATACATTGAAAAACTAGAAAAACTGCAAATAAATAATCTTACATCTCAAGCCCTAGAAAATGAACAAACTAACACACACATATCAGCAGAATACAGTAAATTATTAAAATCTGGGCCAAAATCAATGAAATTGAGAATAAAAAGAAATACAAAAGATCAATGAAATAAAGAGTTAGCTTTTGAAAGGATGAACAAGATTGATAAACCCTTAGCCAAACTAACCAAAAGAAATAGAAGACTCAAATTAACAAAATTAAAGATGAAAAAGGAAATATCACCATAGGCACTACTGAAATCCACAGGATCACTACAATGGAGTATTACTCAGCCATAAAGAAGAATGAAATTATGTCATTTGCCAATAAATGGATGGATCTGGAGATGATAATGCTAAGTGAAATAAGCCACAACCAGAAAGTCAAAGGTTTAATATTTTCTCTCATATGTTGAAGCTAGTCTAAAATAAGAAAAAAAAAAGAGAAAAGAAATGGGAAGTGAAGGGAATTCCATCAAAATAAGAAAAATTAGTGGAATAGAAGAAGGAAATTAAAGGGAAGACTGGATAAGGGAAAACAGTGGAATGGATCTGGGGTCATAGCTCAGTGGTAGAGCACTTGTCTAGGATGTGTGAGGCACTGGATTCGATCCTCAGCACCACATAAAAATAAATAAATAAAATATATTGTGTCCATCTACAACTGTTAAAAAAAATGCGGCAGTAACAACGGTGGTAGCAATTTATGGGGCCAAAATCTAGCAGTGCAAAATGGGCACAGGCAGACAGGCCAATGGAATGAAACAAAACAGGGCGAACAGCAGCAGGAAGGCTTGCCAGGCAGCTCCAGGCTACTCGAGCCAGACATAACTTCCCTGGGCCCAGCCGGGACTACCGATATTCTAACTTCAGATGGGCAAACATGGGAAGCCCTCAAGACAGACAACGAACAGGTGGGGACCCCAGAGCTACAGGCAAAATTTCGGGTCCCAAGCAAGGCACGGAAGGGCAGCTCCGAACACGCGGCTGGGGCAGTGTGGCGGATTCGCGGCTTCTTCCTTGACCCTCCCAACGTCATTAGGGCGGGACTTCCTGCCCTGCCTTCCAGCTTTGCTGAGCCTACCTGTTGTCCCTCTCTGTTCCTTAGAGAGGAGCACCCAGCTACAAAACTTCCTTTCATGTTTCTAAGTGAATGCTAGCTGACAAAGTCTGAATGAACGAACTTCTGCATCTTCAACTAAAGTCTTTTGCTTAATTCTTTCCTGATGCTAAGAAAAATTAATTTCTAATCCTCTTTTCTTTATAGTTATGCTACAAAGGAAGAGTTATTTAAAAATGTATTACGTTGATAAAAGATGTTCTACTTGAGTTTGCTCACACACTAACTTTCTTTTTAGGGATTTTAGAGATAGATTTGACCATCTGTGAGAACAAAAAGCCGGCATCTAAAGCGTTTGCTGACACAATGTTCTCATAATGGCCAAAATTTTTATTCTTCTGAGTATGTAAATAGAAGGATTAAATATATACATGCACAAAAATTCTATTTTAACTGCATTACATAATGTCAGAGTTTACACAGATAAGAGTGCACTCATATTTAAAGTAAAATAAAAATGGATCCAAATATTGTTATTTATTTATTTATAGCTGAAGATGGACACAATACCTTTATTTTATTTGTTTATTTTTATGTGGTGCCTCACACATTCTATGGAAGCACTCTACCACTGAGCCACAACCCCGATGCCTGGATCCAAATATTTTTAAATCACATGATTTAATAAGATTCAATTCAGCAGATTGGTCGAGGTCTGCGCCTGCGCGGGCGCTGGCTCGCGGGCTCGCTCCCTGCGGTCCTGCGGCGGGTGGCTCCGGGCGTGCCCGCAGCCATGGGAATCCAGTTATCAAAATTGACTCCAGAAGAACGAACCTGATAAACCAGTAACAATGGAAGAAATTGGGAAAGTTGCCAAAAAGCTAGCATCCCTCACACCACGAGGCTCATCTGGTGTCACAGGTCAAAAAAAAATCCTTCAAGAAGAGAGACCTTGGGCTGGGGATGTGGCTCAAGCGGTAGCGCGCTCGCCTGGCATGCGTGCGGCCAGGGTTCGATCCTCAGCACCACATACCAACAAAGATGTTGTGTCCGCTGAAAACTAAAAAATAAATATTAAAAATATTCTCTCTGTCTCTCTCTCTCCTCTCTCACTCTCTTTAAAAAAAAAAAAAAAAAGAAGAAGAAGAGAGACCTTAAGCAACCTTCTGGATTCAGAAGCTCATGAAAAGAGACCACCAATCCTTACATCTTCAAAACAAGACACCTCACCTCACATTACAAATGTTGGTGAGATGAAGCATTACTTATGTGGCTGCTGCGCAGCTTTCAACAATGTAGCCATCACATTTCCCATTCAGAAGATCCTTTTTCGGCAGCAGCTCTATAGAATCAAAACCCGGGATGCAGTGCTTCAGTTGAGGAGGGATGGATTTAGAAACTTGTATCGTGGAATCCTTCCACCATTAATGCAGAAAACCACCACCCTGGCACTTATGTTTGGTCTGTATGAGGATTTGTCTTCCCTTCTCCAAAAGCACGTCAGTGCCCCAGAGTTTGCAACCCGTGGCGTGGCAGCAGTACTTGCAGGGACAACAGAAGCCATTTTCACTCCATTGGAAAGAGTTCAGACATTGCTTCAAGACCACAAGCATCATGACAAGTTCACAAACACTTATTAGGCTTTCAGGGCACTGAAGTGCCATGGAATTGGAGAGTATTATGGAGGTTTGGTACCCATTCTATTCCGTAATGGATCCAGCAATGTCCTTTTCTTTGGTCTCCGAGGTCCCCTTAAGGAGCACCTGCCTACTGCAACGACTCACAGTGCTCATTTGGTCAATGACTTTATCTGTGGAGGTCTACTGGGTGCCATGTTGGGATTCTTGTTTTTTCCAGTTAATGTTGTAAAAACTCGAATACAGTCTCAGATTGGTGGAGAATTTCAGTCTTTCCCCAAGGTTTTCAAAACAATCTGGCTAGAACGGGACAGAAAATTGACAAATCTTTTCAGAGGTGCCCATTTGAATTACCATCGATCTCTCATCTCTTGGGGGATAATCAATGCTACTTATGAGTTCTTGTTAAAGGTTATATGAGAAAAGTCGTTGGTGAAGTGCCATGTATTAACTAAATAGACCTAAGAATGCAGTTTGGTCTTATTCCTAATTGGCTCAAATATAAGTTGGTGTCACTAAGTCCAGGCTGAATGAATTATGGGCAAAGTTAATTTCCTTAAGCCTCAACAACAAAAATAAACAATAAAAAGTTTCAGTAGGGAAAAAAAAAGATTCAATTCAGACTGGATAATTAAATAAAATAAATTATGTCTTCATTCTTAATATATATTTTCCAGCTGGTTTAATAATCTATATAATTTTAATTTATGAATAATTAATATGTCTGTTTGCTTATAATGGTTTTTCTTCAACAGGAAACACATAACTCATATTATTATGTACATTTACCTAATGCCCTACCTTTTACAGGTAGGGATATTCAAAGTAAATATAATTCATTACATAAATACCTGTTTAAACACATATTTATTAATTTATAAAGTTAAGATGTAATCTTAACTCCTAACTATTGCTTAGATTTTCATAAAGTGGCAAACAAATATAATTCTATATATAAAGGTGTTCAAAAACTTTTGCTGCATTTCCATTGAAATATCTCTTATTAAAATATAATAATTTATCTAGATTCAAAGATTTACAGGAATTTTTCCAAAATTTAACTAAAAATAAGAATTCTAGAAGGAAAGAAAGAAATGCTTCTACAGAAAGGAAACAAAAGTTGGAGAGTCCTAGAAGAAATAAAGAAAATGTCTTGGGCTGGGATCCTGGCTCAGGGGTAGAGCACTCGCCTAGCTCAGGTGGGACGGGGTTGCAGCACCACATAAAAATAAAAAGGCATTGTGTTGTGTCCATCTACAAAAAAGATTCTCTCATATTCTCTCTCTCTCTTTCTCTCTCTCTCTCTCTCTCTCTCTCTCTCCCTCCCTCCCTCCCTCCCTCCCTCCCTCTCCTTTCTCCCCTTTAAAAAAAAGAAAAGAATATGTCTCTGGGTAAAAAGGTAAAATTCAAGACTTTAATGATAGAAAAAAAAAGATTTTTCTAGTAGAGGAATCTTTATGATTATATACAAAAGCTAAATAGATGATGTAAAAGGTTTGAGTAAATAGAAAACAGATTTGCATATGACTAATTGGTTGTAAATATATAAAACAGTCAATTAAAAATTTGAGGCTTCCCCTAAAAACAAATATTAATGTGCTAATATAAACCAAAATGTTAACCTATTAACATTTGAGATAACAGGAACTTCTTAAAATATTAATCTACCTTATTCCAACAGAATAATTACTTATGTCTAGTAATTTTATTGTTTAAAAAAGAACTAATTTTTATTAAGATTCACACATTTTACTTAACCGATAATTATTTTCAAATGCCACCTTACATTCCAAGTTTCAAACTACTCTTTAAAAGTTAAATTTTATTGATTTAAAAACATCAATAATTATGATAATTATTACTAATTTTTACATATCAATTGTATCTCTGTTTCCTAAGTATATAAGTCTTTAAAGTATAAGATTTAAGAAAACATTTTACTAAACTGATGCCCTAACAAAGTAGTTTTTTTTATAATGGTCTCTAACCAACTCATATAATAACAACAAAATAATTAAAAAATCTAATCATGATTTATTCTTCTAATTATACAACATAAAACTTATATGTTACTTTACACTGGGAAGTAAACTTAGCTATATTTTTACTTTTTATATTTTTAAAAGACAGTTGCGAGACACTAACTTATTTAAAGGGTAACATTACAAGATATAAAAATGTTTTAAGACCTTCTCTCAAGAAGAGATTAAAATATCTCTTAATTTGTCCATTTCATATTCTAGATAAACATTGAAATGGATCAATTTTCTCATTACAACATCATATATGTATTCTGTTAAAATTCTAAATTTTTAAAAAATAATTCATTAGATCACTGTCCTAAGTAATACCACTGATTTGATTTTACCCATCAATATTTAAAGTACTGATTCCCCAATACTTAGATCAACATTAGATTTAATGATAATAACAATTTTTCCTAAATTAGTAAAAGACTATTCATTCTTCTATTTCATTTTTTATTATCAGTAATAGATAAAATATTTTTCCTATGCTCATTAAACATATTTCTTATTCTGAAAAAGAATGTTTATATCTTTCATGTCCTTTGTAAAGGCCACCTCTCCCAAATTAAAACTCTGCCTCTCACCTCATTCCAAGTTAAGATAATCACAAGTCCATTTAAAGTTATGTTCAAAATATAAATTTTTTACTATAAATACTACATACATGGAGACAATTATACAAAATTATAATCTTTAATTCATAGATATATAATAATAAAGTATATTTTACTCTTGTTAATTTTATATTGTATTTTCCCTACAAACCTTACAGCTACTGTTTATTAATGCCTTACAAGTATCAATTCCTATATAACAACTTAAGTTAATTCAGATAATAAGGCTATACATATATAACAAACAAGTTGTAAAAATGGCTTTCAACATCTCTACTGACTCTCTTTTATAATTTTATTGCTCAGCCTATTACTAGAGTCAAAATTAAATCATACATAAAAATTAAGCTTTCATTTACTTTCAACTCAATATTATTGGCCTTTACATGCCTAATAAGTAACTCTTGCCAAGTTTCCTGACCAACTAAAGATAGTAAATCTCTTATTATTGAAATCTATACTAGGCCATTCATTGTATATAACTTAAGGCTAACAATACTCTGACTTATATCAACTTTTTCTTCAATTTTAAAAATAAAAAAGGGGGAAAACAGGATCCTACATGTACCTACTAAATCTCACAAAAATATTTTTTAAAACTTGTTTAAATTATGATACTAAAAGTCTTACTGCTGCCAAGCAACACATGGTACAGTTGGATAAATCAGATGTCAAAGGATAAAATTTAAACCTGTCATTGTGGAAATGGCTGAAAAACCTGACACAGGAAGGTAAATCTCTAACCACAGTGCTCTATAACTATGTAGACCTTGTGAGCTATCAGGTTAAGTAAAATCTATGGAGAAATTTCTACAACCTGCTCCCCAAGTTCACCTTTAATGTACCTTGCAATATGGACTGAGAGAATCCATCCCAGTGCTTATTAATGATACTCATATGATGGATGGTCTTACAGGTACTCACTCATATTAGTTCCATCCCTGTGACTAGATTTAAGCATACTGGCTACAGGAGGAACCTGTTGGTGCATAAGGAACATACTGGCTATTTAAAAGTAACTTTTGAGGAAAGAATGACATGGGAAGGACTTAGACCATCCAATCATACTGGTCCTTAAAATTTAAGATTGTATTTATACAGTTGTTAAAATAGAATGATTATTGAAATAGAATTTTCTCATAACAAGCCAGTTATTTCCACACAATATCCTCCAATATTTTACTGCCTTAATCATTCTACAATAAAATTTGGCATCTTTCCTGAATAAATAAAGTATACAGATGCTTTGCCAGTGCAACATAAAATCTCTAGAGGTGATAGATATGTTTTTGGATTGATCTTCAAAAAATTGATAAAAGATAATTATGTCAAGATGCCATGGGCTGGGGATGTGGCTCAAGCTGTAACACACTCGCCTGGCATGTGCAGGGCGCTGAGTTCGATCCTCAACACCACATAAAAATAAAATAAAATAAAAAATGTTGTGCCCACCGAAAAATAAACAAACAAACAAACAAACAAATAAATAAATAAATAAATAATGCTACTTCCTACACGAAATACAAAGCCAGGAGGACTTAACATGGAAGTACTGTCACTAAATGTTTCACTTCTACTTCTTAAAAAGAAATTTGCAAACAACCATGTTTAATTTGGATTCTTAATTTAGAAAAAGATCTAAGAAGCTAGAAATATAATTGAGTTATCTAAAACTATTTTCAGAATATAAAAATAAGATTAGGTATACTATCCTTTTGACTCTTTAAAAGTCCTGTTGTTTGGGAATTATTTACAGCTGTATAATGAAAGCCAAATTAAGCTGGCAAACTGATGTCACTGTAGAAAGGCCAGTAACTCACATCTGGATTTATAACAGTCACTTCTTATTTGATGGTAATTTGGATCCTATATATCTTAATGTATTCTTTCAGGCTTATTATATCTGTCTCCATATTAACCTTGTTTATGGTCATAATTCATTCTTTCATGATGTGATGACCCCTGAAAGTTTCATTGGTAATATTCTAACTTTCAGCAAAGATGATATCCAAAAAAGATCTCTAGCATTTAATTGTTGCCTCATTTTCTCCATCTTACAAATGGCCTCATATCTATAGGCAGGAACCACAAGGAGGGTTCCTGCTGTGGCCTGTGAGCCTATATTTAATCCTCTTATGTTTTAATTGTTGGAGACATAATAGATATTCTGTAAATTTTTGTAAATTGTAAAAAAATGTAATCCAACTAAGCTAATTTTCTTAATAATTTGACCCAAAATATTTCTAAAGTCGTATATAATCAGGTAAGTATTGATAAGAGTTTAAGAGATTAAATATTCTAAAAGCCACTATTATAGGTATCAATAAGATTTCTGCTCTCAAATTTAAACAAAGGCTTAAATGCCTTGCTAAATATAAACATGTCTGTATTTCTGTAGCCAAATTTCATGCTTCCCCAAAAAATTTGGAAAAAATTAGAAATCATCTGATAGACGTTTAGCATAACAATAATAACAGCTTAAATCTTGTAGGGATACATCTAAACACCCAGGCAGGATACTTTTAAAAAAAAAGCAGGACCAATCTCATAGGCCCTGCATCTCTAGCTGGTTGAATACTTTTGTAGATTGGCTCCTATCCTAAAAACATGTGGTATGCTATTGAAATGATATGTTTGCTACTAATTCTTTTTATGTCATAATAGACCATGACGCCCTCAGATCAAGGATCCAGTGACTTGAAGTTAAGAATGGGGGAGATGTCAGGAGCCGTCATTGGGTTACCTATGGGTCACCATGCACGGAAGCCTCATGGATGAAGACATCTGGTGTCTGGGAATGACCAGTGGACATTTCCACTGGTCAGTTGCCCAGGGACAGTGTGAATCTTTATCCCACTCTGCCAGGGACCACAAAGCATCCAAGATGGTGTGACCTGCCAAGATGTCAATCACCTTACTAACTGCTAGACATCAGGAAGCATCACTCTGCCCTTGAA